GACTCTTGCGACTGTTGACCTTCCTGCCCTTGATACGGGCTGATCCGATACTGCGGTTGTTGCTGCTTCGACAGAATCTGGTGCGGTACTACTGCACCTACGGGAATGCTAAGTAAAATTCCCTTCACACTCCAACAAAAGCGACGACCATTATGCAAGGAAGGGGAGTCAAGTGCCTCCATTCCTCCTCGCTATGTAGCACACCTGGTTGGGCGCTCACGCCGCAACTTGCGGCGGGCAGCAGTGCTTGCATTCCTCCTCGATACGTAGGATGACAATCGTAAGCACCCGCCAGGTTGGGCGCTCACGCCGCAACTTTGCGGCTGTTAGCAGAATTGCTTCCGTTCCTCCTCGCAATGTAGGATGACAATTGTACGCACCCGCTGGGATGGGCGCTCATGCCGCAACTTGCGGCTCTTTCAGGTAGAAGTAAACCATCTCCATCCTAAAGGCAACCACATCAGCAATGTGTCAGTGCTCGGCTGCCTTACGACCCGCGTCGCGCTCTCGTCGATCTTGCTGCTCCGGGGCGCACATTCTCTCGCTCACCCCCCCACTCTCCCGTCCCTACTACTAGTACTATATAAGCGCATGAATCCGCAAATCATCGACAGTCGAGCCATTCACTTTCTCTCACACTAAACAGCAGTTCGCATCACCTTAAGCAGATTTTGAACATTTCGCTACGACTTTCCAAAAACTTTTCGCGACCCTACAAGCAGCCTCCTTCAGGGCTACTAACAATGGCTATCCGAGGTGTTTTCCTCGCCGCGCTTGTGTGCTTGTCGGTGCTCGCAGCGCTGACCCTCACCACCACGGCCTTCGAGCTTCGCGGCACTCGCAGGGACGGCGGCGCGACTCGTACTAAGACTGTTGCTGGCAGGCGCTCCCTGGCGGACTCCGGTCATGCCGCGATGCCGAGCTCTCCAAAGGGGAGCTCTTCCAAAGGGAGTAAGGCCTATTGGGACATGGCGAGAAAGGCTTGTGTAGGTAAGGGCAAGGCGTGCGCGAAAGCCGTCTCCGACAACTTCAATAAGAAGGACGGGGCAAAAATGGTGGCTGGCGCCGTGGCCAAGGCCGGCGGGATAGCGGTTGACGCGGCGGCAGGCGTGGCAGCCGCGCGGAAGGGGGACAAGGAAGGCGCCAAGAAGGCCGCGGTGGATGTCGTCAAGGGCGCTGGCACGATGGCGGTTGCCGCGTTGGGTCCTAAAGGCGCGCTCGTGGCTGGCGGGACGGTGTACGCGGCGAACAAGGCGAAACCCCACTTGGAGAAGTTTGCGAAGCACGTCAAGGCGAAGCTCAAGGAGAAGCGCGAGGCTAACAAGCAGCAGCGCGACCTGGGCTACCACGAAATGAAGTAGGATACCGGTAGTAGTAGCATGTTTGTGATCTCCCCCACGGCGCGCAGAGGAAGCTGCTGATGTCGCGGTGAATAGCTCAGCGAGCCTTGTTGGGTCGTCTGGCTGCCGGAGCCTTGCGATGGGGGGTGTTTTTTGGGGGGGAGGGGGAGGGGGGAGGGGGAGGGGGAGGGGGAGGGGGAGGGGGAGGGGGAGGGAGAGGGGGAGGGGGGTGAGGGTAGGGGGAGTGGGGGTTCGAGGGGTTTGGGAGTTTATCCAGGCTAAGCCTGAAGAGAAGCAGGGAGTGGGCTGTGTGATACGATTCTGCTGCTGGGGTAAGCTTCTGCTGCTGCTGCACTAATGGGTTGGGGTAGTTCTAGTGGTGAGGGTGAAGATTGGTTGTTGCAGGTATGGCAAGGGGGGTGGCTATAGAGGGGCGATGGATGAGGTGCTGAGAGGGATCCCTGAGCGGCTTGTGATACGCGACCATTAGGTCCGGGGAGTGGAATGATGGTATCGGAAGAGGGGGCATAGGCAGGCAGGGAAGGGTGTGATAAATGCACAAGATGTTTGATGTTGCTCCTAAAATGATCTATATAATTCCACCTCCTCTTATGGCATACCGTACAACAATTTACACCGAAGCCAAAATTGAGCAGAAAAGCTCGTCTTCAGACAAGCCTAGACTACTAATAGTCAAACTTCTACATATCCAATTCTAGTTCCAAGTCATTGAATCTCCTAGGAGTACGCACTAGTCTTTCAGACCTAGTCACCGTCACAACTTCCCAATCCCATGCCTGAGAGCTGCTGCCTCGTTTACAAGAACCACTTATGCTATTCTTCTCCATAGCACCCAGTGCAGTCTCAATCTCCAGACTGCATCCCTCCAAACCTGTCTCACTCTGCCCAGATACCTCCTCACACAACCAGCTCCTCTCCTCATCCACTCCACTCCCCTCCTCTTCACACTCACACATCATGTGCATACTGCTCCCTGCTACTCCCCACCTCCGCAGTATCCGCCGCCGGGCACGGCCCTTCCTGGCCCACACGGGGAAATCAGCCAACCCATCATCGCCCCTCCCGTCTGGCAGAGCAGCAGCTGCTGCTGGCAAAGCCCCGCTGCTGGTGCTACTTCTAGTGCAGCGTGCTCTTGACTTCCGCGCCTGCTGCATGGCACGGCCCTTCCTAGCCCGTGTCCGTGGCATCCTCGCGCGGCCATTTATGCCCCACGCAAGGAATCCGTGAATCCTGTCGGTGCTCGTGTCAGTGCCGGCGTCCGTGTCAACGTTCGTGTCACTGCGTGTGTCAACCTTGGTGTAGATGCCCGTGTCAGCGGGGTATCCGCTGTGGGATGGTGAACCAGCGCCAGCAGCAATCGGAGAAGTTACTGCTGACGCGCCATCACTACGAACTAGCACCTTCTCGCTTCGTACCACGACTTCTTTTAAACAAGGGTCACCACGAAGTAAGTTAGGACATCTTGCCCTGCGTTCGCCTTCAAGCCCATCCACCACGGTGAAGCCCCTTCCCACACACTCCTCTAACGGATCATCTACTACCGAGGCAGTTTCCGAGGACAACGCAGATGCCGATGGAGTTTCCCCGATATAAGTCGCATCAGTCACATCGGCCTGTGGTGCTGCGTTGTCGGAGTTGTCTTCATGAGTTGTATTGGGTCCTGAATGGGTGGTTGGGAGGATGGTTGTTAGGAACGAAAAAAGGTAAAAAAATCGCCGGTGTTACTAGGCGCTGGGAGAGCGTGTGCGAGAGAACATAAACGCGAAGGACCTGCTGAAAAAAACTTACCGAGACATTGAGAAGCAAATTGTCCGTATGATGAAGCCACTTTCTCACACGACGCTGCCGAAACACCTTGTTCCCCCAAACCCTCTTCTATTTCGAAAAGCTCTGGAAAAACGGTCTTGACATTGTCGAATATCTCGTCCGCTTCACCCTGCCCGAGTGAGGCGGTGTCACCGACGGTGTCGCCGTCTTCGTGATTCCTGCAGCGTTGCGTTCCACGAACCGGCCGCCGGGTCAACGCGGCGTTGACGTCAGAACCAATATGCATAAGAAAAAATGTGGGGACGTGCGAACTGGAGGGACAGGGCTGATGACTTCGTTTGAAACCGCTGGGTGCGGTGTGTCTAAGATACGGTGACAGTATCTTGCTATTGCAAGTTTGGGGGCGGATACGCACCCATCGGCCAATGTAGCGGCGGAGTATCGTGCAGGATAAACCATGTGGCTTGAGTAACCAACAGAAGGGCGACTGGCGCTTTAGAATTGGCGTTAAAGAAATACCTTGCTGGAAAATGCCAGACAGCGGGATGGAATATGGCGGTTGTAATGCAAATATGGCGAGGCCTGCCTGGAAAATGCCAGGCGTGAAAGGGATGGGAGGTGAATGGAACAGCCCTAGGCGCTTGAGAGTTGGAGTAGGGGGACTCAGAATAATAGGCTGGTTCAGGGGAAAGGATGGCTGGCTGAAGAAAATGTCGGGGGCCTTTGCTCGGATTCGAATTTTGAATTTGGCATTTGAGTTTCGGTGCGACTTGAATTCAAATTTCCCGAGTCGCGGTTCTGGATAAAAGCTATACCGGAAGTCACTATTGCAGACAAAAAAAAGGTCAAATAAAAGACAACACAAATAAAAAGGTCATAAAATTTGTGGAATCTTGTTAGTAAAGCCAAGCAACAAACCATGATGCTATCAACATATGCGCACTATCAGGCTCTGAAACTCGCAACAAAACTACATCCCATGTCACATTCTGTCAGCTCAGTCATTGTGCTGAACTCACTAAACCTCATCAAAATCATGTAACCCTAATCAAATATTACTAGCGGTGTATGGATGAAAGTGTAGCAGAAAGTAATGAAGCGAAATTTGATAGCGAAACTTGTGCATTATATCCGCTTTCCTCTCTACCCGCATTTTGCGCATCACGAATTCGCCATTCACACGCTGGCGACCATTATAGAAAGAGAGCCGCCATTCTTCCATTCCTCATCACTACGTAGAACGACAATTGTAAGCACCCGCCAGGTTCGGCGCTCACGCGCAACATGCGGCGGGTAACAGAACTGCTTCCATTTCTGCTCGCTACGTAGGATGAGAATTGTAAGCACCCGCGACTTGGGCGCTCACGCCGCAACTTGCGGCGGGTACTAACGACGAACTTGCTGCTGCGAGGCGTGCATTCTAGCTCGCCCCCCGCTCTCCCGTTCCTATAAAGTGCTTGCGCTACTAGTCTGTTTATGAGCATCAATTCCACATCGACAATCCCCTCGTTTGCGAGTAATTCACACAGACTCTCACCGGCGAGACATCTGAGGCATTCCAGGAGTGGTACTCAACGGCGGTTCGCATAATCTTTCTCAAATTTCGCAACGAATCTCCAGGCTCAGACCATTTCCTGACTTTCCTAGCAGCGCCCTTCAATACTACAAGCAATGGCTATCCGCGGGCTCTTCCTCGTCGCGCTTCTGTCCGTGTCGGTGCTCGCCGCGCTGACCCTTACCACCGCGGCCTCCGCGCTTCGCGGCACTACGGAAATCGGACTCTCGACTACGACCACGGCTAGCACTACTGGCGCGACTGGCGGTAAAACTGTTGCTAGCAGGCGCTTCCTCACGGATTCCGGTTTTGCCCCGATGCCGAGCTCTCCGAAGCCCAAGGACTCCCTTTGGAAGAAGGCCGGCAAGGCTTGTCTGTTTGTTGGCAATTCATGCGCGAAAATGATCGCCGACAACTTGACTAAGAAGAACGCGGCAAAGCTGGTGGCTGGCGCGGTGGTTTCGGGCGGCGGGATGGCTGTTGACGCGGCGAGCGGCGCCGCAGCGGCAGCGAAGGGGGACAAGAAAGGCGCCACGGATGCCATGGTGAATGTCGTCAAGGGCGCTGGCTCACTCGCGGCTTCCACCGTGGCGGGTCCCGTTGGCACAGTCGCGTTCAACGCGGCGACCTTCGCCGGGGGCAAGGCGAAACCCCTGGTGGAAAAAGAGGTGAAGAAGCAGCAGCAGAAGCAGAAGAAGAAGCGTGAGGAGAAGCGTGAGAAGAAACAAAAGGCTCTTGAACTGAAGCAGTCTTTGATCTAGACTATAAAGACAATTTAGAGTCTTAGTAGCAAGAACTGTGTGGGGAGTTGAGAGAAGGTGAAGCTGCGGTAAGCTGCTGCAGCACTAGCGGGTTGGGGTGGTTCTGATGGGGAAGGATATGGCAAGGGAGATGGATGATAAACGCAGTGAGGGATGGGGTGCTGAGAGGGACTTTGGTGTGCCTTCTGATGTGTGTGTGGTTTTAGGTCAGGGGGGTGGGATGGTGCAGGAAGAGGGTTAGATTCACAAGGAGATAATTGAGATTTGCTGTACCAGTTGTTGCTTCTGGACTTCCATTCCATTTCCTCTTATGACATGCAACAAGGCAAAGAACAATAGCACCAACTCTTAGGACAAATAAACCATTCCATGAATACTTTTGCCCATGCACACAATGTCAGGCCAATGAAACATCCACTATCATGGCACGAACATTTGCTACATTTCCCCCTACATAGCCTTGTAGAACTGTCCCAACAAACTATCACAAGCGTGCACCACCTCTCATCGCCCAACGTGCAGGCAGGCTGAGCTCTTCCGATGGAGGCAGTTGTGCAAGTGGTCGGAGATCCAGCTTGAGATCTACACCAGGAGACAAGGTGGATAATGGAATGGAATGATGGGAAACCAGAGGTTTGGAATGGGAAAAATAACAAGCAAACCCGCTATGGACACATTGCTAAGAATTTTAGTAGAGGTCATATCACAACAATAATTAGATTGAATTGTTTTCAAGGAATTCAAATCCATTTTTATTATAGTCTTACGTTATCAGGTGTAACCAAAGTGGGGTGCCCTAAACCTTTTTAGGGATAGATTCCAAAACACCTGACGCTGACTGAATCAATTCGCATAATAGTGGGAGCTTCTGGTTCTTAACTCTACTTTAAACATACCTTACAGGTACAGTGGCTAGGAGTGTTAGAAAAGCAAAGTCAGTCTTATAGCGAAACCTGTGAATTATTTGCGCTTCACTGCGCATATAATTATCGCGCATTCTGCGGATGACAAATTCACCACCCATGGGCTCATCTGAGGGACGAGTAGCGGGTGACCATTTTGTGGGAGTGGACCAAAAGTGCCACTCGTGTTTGCATTCGTTCTCGATACGCGGCTGACAATCATAGACACTGCGGGTGCCACGCCGCAACTTGCGGTTCCTAAGATAGGTGCGTTTCACAAGGGAGGTTTCTTCACGTTACTCCGATAAGCAGTGTGCGAGTAGCCATCTTCATGCTAAGACAATCATTGCTAGCAATGTGTAAGCGCGCGGCCGTCTTACGTCGCGCTCGACGATCTTGATGCTGCGGGCCGCGCATTCTCTCAACCCACCCTCCGCTCCCAAGTCCCTATATAAACGCCTGCACCAGCCTGCTTATGAGCATCAAATCAGTTCTACATCGAAAAAAGCGGTCCGGATATCAGACTCACAACGGCTTCTCAGAACTCGCAGATTTCGCAACGACTTCCGCAAACTCACACCACTAGCAATGGCTATCCGCGGGCTTTTCCTCGTCGCTCTTCTGTCCGTGTCGGTGCTCGCAGCGCTGACCCTTACCACCACGGCCGCCGCGCTTCGCGGCGGCACTCCGGAAGACACACTCCCGACGTCGACCACGATTAGTACCACCGGAACCAGCACTGGCGCGGCTCGTACTATAATCGTTGCCAGCAGGCGCTCCCTCGCCACCTCGCCCAAAGCGTCAGACAAGAAGAGTCAGAAGAAGAAATGTGCGGATTTGGCGGGGAATTGCTTGAAAATGGCCGCCAACATGCTGACTGGAAAGAACGTCGCAAAGATGGCGGTTAACCACGCGGTTCCGGGCAGCGCGACAGCGATCACCGCGATGGAGGGCCTCGCAGCCGCGCGGAAGGGGGACAAGGAAGCCGCCAAGGAGGCCGCGAAGAGTGTCGCTAAGGCTCAATGTAGTTCAAATCAGCTCCATCAAGCCGCGTCAACAAGTCGAAGAATTTCTGCACTCCTTCTTCAACCGCTTTGTCTTCTTCAATTCGAAGTGCCGCCATTTGCCCTTCCAACACCACCGCTACCGCCGCTGTTGCAGGAGCATGTACACCCTTGAGAGCAGCCCATGCCTTTGGTCCTTTCTATGGTTCACGCTGGAATGGCTTGATGTGACGGATCTGACTGCTCCCCAACGCTTGCCCAAGTAAGAGATAGCCTTGTGCGCTCTTCCGCACCCACGGGCTCTTCTCCGGGTCGTTCTCGGGGCGCTTCTCCGTTTCTTCCATCACCTCCAGCAGGTCATAGTGGTCAAAGATGTTCTCCATCTTGAAGGACCATTCAGCAAAGTTGTCACCGTTGAACTTGTCAAGCCCAAACACCCTAGGCTCATCCCTAGGTGGGCCAAGACTTGGTTGCATGGGCGCCATGGCTGAATCACGGGGTTGGCCTTGAGCTTGAGCTTCTCCACTGCCACCAGCACCTCTGCCACCCCTTTCCTCAGGTCCAGACATTGTCGAAACTGCTCCAAGGGGCTCTGATACCACCTGTTATAGTCACAATAGGCTTGAATGTGCCTAAAACGAAAGATAGAGAGCACAGACGGATTTCTGCACAGCGGCTTCAAACGTTGATAGCGTTCTGCTCACAGCTGCAAATGACTTGATTCAAATTGGATCTGGAGCGTCGTCACGTCGTCTACAATTATCAATTTAGATTGCACGATTTGATAAAGAATTGACGACACAGCGTCGGTTTGAACGAACGGTACTATGGCAGCCATTATAGTATTAGAACACAAGATAGGAAGAGTTACGAGTTGGGAATGACTCCCAGCTGCTACAAACCCCAAGAGCCGAGGTACAGTGATGTGGAACAGTGCCACACTATCCCCAACCACGAAAGGTCTCGAAACTACCCTTCACTTGGGCCTACACCAAGTGAAATGTTACACTACACAAAGTAATGTAACTATCTTCAATATCTTGAGGTGTACCCTTTTTTTGGCGAGCTTCGAAATCACTTGAGGCTTGACACCAAGGCTCGGGCTCTTCATCACAAACTCATCCTTGAGTTCTTGATGGACCTGCTGCACACACCTGCGACACGCCGAACGTTCGACACAGGACAAAATAGACACCGCGCACGACAAAATAGAAACCGCGCGCGAGACACAAACGACCGCGTAACACGCGTCTAGCTATAACTTGCTATTGACCTGACACACACACTCGACATCATGACTCAACATTCACACACAATTATAAGCATGAAATATATATTATCCCATGCCCTCATACCATTCCATACACACACACATTCACGCACACGGACAACAAGCCGAGTGCAAACCGTAGGGTTGCAACAACAACAACGGCTTCTTAGAACTCGCAGATTTCGCAACGACTTCCGCAAACTCACACTACTAGCAATGGATATCCGCAGGCTTTTCCTCGTCGCTCTTCTATCCGTGTCGGTGCTCGCAGCGCTGACCCTTACCACCACGGCCGCCGCGCTTCGCGGCGGCACTCCTGAAGACGGACTCTCGACGTCGACCACGATTAGTACCACCGGAACCAGCACCGGCGCGGCTCGTACTAGAATTGTTGCCAGCAGGCGCTCCCTCGCCACCTCGCCCAAGGCGTCAGACAAGAAGAGTCTGAAGAAGAAATGTGCAGATTTGGCGGGGAATTGCTTGAAAATGGCCGCCAACATGCTGACTGGAAAGAACGTCGCAAAGATGGCGGTTAACCACGCGGTTCCAAGCAGCGCGACAGCGATCACCGCGATGGAGGGCCTCGCAGCCGCACGGAAGGGGGACAAGGAAGCCGCCAAGGAGGCCGCGAAGAGTGTCGCTAAGGCCGTGGTCTCGACCGCAGCTGGCGAGGTGGCGGGACCGCGCGGCACACTCGCGTTCAAGGCGGGGGCCGCCGCGGCGGAGCATGTGAAACCCATCTTGGACGAGAAGTTGGCGAAGCGCAAGGCGGAGAAAGAGGAGGAACGTAAGGCGAAAAAGCCGAAGCGCGAGTAGATGTACCAGTCACTGGTACACGTACCCGCTGGTACATGTACGGTAGGCGAGTGGGGGCTCCAGCCTCGAGGCGCTGAATCGGCAAAATAAAGGGAGGCGAGGCGCTGTTCACGTAGTCGCCATGGCGGCGCACAGAGGTTGCTGCTGATGTCGCAATGAAAAGCTCAGTGAGCCTTGTTGGGTAGTCCGCCTGTCGGAGCCTTGGGGGCATGGGGGGTTTCTGAGGGGGGGGGTTAGGGGGTGTGGGGGTTTGAAGGGTTTTGAGAGTTGTCCTGGATAAGCCCGTTGAGAAGCAGGGAGGCGAAGGGTTGTGTGGTGTAGCATGACAGGGTTTGCAGTAAGCAAGGGAGATGGCTCGAACAGGGTAGCGGCTTTAGAAGGGCGTGGGATGAGGTACTGAGAGGGATTTCGGAAGCGTTGTGATATGTGACCCTAGGCTGGGGGAGTGGGATGATGGTACAGGAAGAGGGGGCATAGGCGGACTGGGTAGGGTGGGATAGTTGTAGAGGAGAATGGGGGCTGGCATGTTTTGAGAATTGCATCAACTGATGTTCTCCTGGAATAAGATAAATGATGTCATGGCATGTCGTACAGCAATTTACACCGAAGCCAATTTCACGCCTGAAAAGCTCGACGCTAAGAGAGAAAAAGACAGCCAATCCGGAGCATGTCACATCAGCCCGATCCCAACCCTTAGGCCAGCGGAGTCTGATATCAAACTTATAATAATGATGTCACACTAAATTCGAATCCTTTGCTACACCAGTTGCACCGGAACCTGTGCTTTGAGGTTCCTCTTGCAGTCGGACGAGGCGGAGCTTCCGAAGTAGAGCGTCTGGCCCTTATCGCCGTCCTTGACGGTGTACGAGTAAAAGCCGACGTACGACGTGGAGCTAAGGGTCCTCGCGAGCGTGAAGTCGCACACGGAGTAGCTCGCGCCGTCGCTGAACATTACCACGTTGTGAGGCATCACCCACCGGAAAACTGAAGGGTTGGACGAGAGAACATGGAGAATCGCGGCGGGTTAAAGAGAAATCGTAGGTTCGGGAGGGCGAAAGAAGTTACCCGCCGGAGTATGCAGCACGTAGATCGCGAAGACCAAGCATCAATAAAGTTATATTCTGAAACTGAGAATAAATACTAAAAGTCACGTGACGACAAAACGTGCTGACTCTTAATCAATATTGTTCGACTAATATCAGACCCCACAACTGCGACTAACCGAGCTGGTCGCCGGCGTAGACTTTGG